GGGTCAGAGGCGGCTGGCACCCTGGCTCAAACGTGGACCAGATGCCACAGCTGGGTCTGCATCAGGCTTATTTCTAGGGTGACTAGCTCAGGCCAGCCAGAAGCTATCCCACAGACTTCCTAGAAGAGGGTCCTCACAGACCCACTCCTGCTGGAGCTCAAGTCTCCAGCCAGATAAAGAAGAAAGAATATGAGTTGCACTAGCTAACCTGAGGCTTTGGGTGACCCATTCTCGGGCCACAGCATGACACTGCGTCCCTTTAACTTTTTCTGGAGACTGTCCAACCCTAAGAGAAGGGAAATAGCACATCAGATTAGTGGGAGGCATCCCTTATTCCATCGTAATTAAGAGGTTTCTGTTTTAATATCTGCAGCACTAGCTGGAGATCCAGGCAAGAACAGGCACTCAATAAATACCTGGTACACTGAGCTGACTTTTCCCCATTTCCCACACTAACAGCGCTGGATCCTGCTGGACTTCAGACCTCGCACAGATGTCTACTTTCCATCTCTCCCTGTCTCCAGCTACCTGCTTTCTCCTGCCAGCTTCATCTTCCTGACACACCGTGTCTGTCACAGTTCTCTCTGTCCAGCGACTGATGGAGACGCGCATGGAGTCGAAGGTCATCAGCCTTCCATTCACCTCCCTCTGGCACCAGCTGCTCCTTAGCTTTCCAGCCCCATGTTTCACAAACAGCCTACTCGGCTGGGTTTCAGTGTGAAATCTGCTTCATCCAATCACTGAACATGCACTGTATTTAGTGCTCACGACATGACAGGCACTGGGCCAGATCCTTCTGCATATGGCATAAGAACCCTGAAAATCAGGTACGCTCACCCCGTCTTGCAGTTGTAGACGCAGACTGCAAGCCCAAGAGTAACTTGCCCAAGGGCCCAGCACATCTAGTGGCACAGTCAGAATTCGGAACCCAGGTTTCCAGGTTCAAGTCCACCACCCAACCACACTGCACATCAATGCAGTGCCTGGGGACAGAGGCTCCCGGAACAAGACTCGTACCTCCACAGGTTCAACAGGCCCTCAAATACACACACACACACACACTCCCAAACCACTCCAGACCCATCTAGGCCTAGAAAGCACCCCATCTTCCTCAATGGACTGCCCACCCCACATTGTCCATAGTGTCTTGCACAATGTGCCACACTCTGGTTTTGGCCGAGGGAATCACTCCGGACTTGGGACTCCTGCCTTAGGTGTTTTACCTCACCTTGCTGTGCTGAGTCATGCATTCATGTGCCAACCGAACCCTCTGACCATCCATATCACTACCTCGTGGACCAAACACATACTCCCCGCATCAGTTTTATTATTAGCCAACATTTACAGACTGCGTCCTATGAACTGAGCGCTATACTAAACATTTACATGAATTATCTCTGTTAATCTTCATAATTCTCTAAGGTACGTTCTATTACTGTAGTCGTTTCATAGGTGAGAATACGAAGGCTTAGCCAGGTGAAGTAACTTACCCAGAGTCACAAAGGGTTAGAGCCAGTACTTGCACCCAGGCAGCACCATCAGCTCTCAGATCTACAGCCTCTTCTCACTTGGTCCCCTTGACCAACACACACACACACACACACACACACACACACACACACACACACACA